AGCCAGCTCTTTTTGTGTTTAGCCCATTGTTGAATGCCATCACAAAGACTTGGGGCATTAATCCTGTCATCTGTTCGGTGTGTGGAACTGCTGAGTAGGCTGTGCGGTGAATGAGAAGCTGTAGGTACTAGGGAAAAGGGGTATGGTGTGTAGGCGTGTTTGGAGCACATTCAGAATTCATATCTTTCCCTGGCTGTACTGATTGAATATAAAAATCTCCTCCTGTGTTTGCAGTGGTCACCAGTAACAGGAATGTGCAAGTGTGGAGGTCTGATGGCGGTGGGAAGGCAGGCAGAACGTGGAACAGGCTGGAGTGGTGGAGGGGTATAGCCCTTCTCTGCATGCGTCTGCGGTTGTCTGCGTGCTGTTGCTCCACTGAGGAAGGCTCTGAAGGAGCCGTGCATCTTCCTCGGAGCAAACAGAATGATAGATTCAGCACTTCGGACTGAGGCCAGAGTATAACGAATGGGCTAAACCAAAATGACAGCTCCCAAGGTCGTGGTCTTCAATATATAAGGATTCAGCTTTGAGCCTTGCAGGCTGAGTCCATCTCTAGCTAGCAGAATGTGTCTGCCACAAAGGAGCTGGCACTTCTTAGATGCTGGCTGTGTGTTATGCTTCCTTCTGCGGCAGATCTGGTTTAACAGCGTCTGTGAAACCCAAACTCCCTGTCCTGCAGACTGTCTCTCACTAGAGCTGCAGTTCTGTACTGTGGTTCTTTGCCAGCAAATTTAGTTTGAGAACATCCAACTCTGGACGACTTGTGTCTGTCCCCATACTGTGATTACTAAGCAGCCTGTGTGGTTGCCCTTTAAACTGGATCTTTGACATGGTACAAGGAGAAAAAGCTATTTCCCTCAACCCACCCCCCACCAAGTATTTGTTTTTAAAAACAATTATTTCACAATTCTAATTTGGAATCAGCACAGCTGAGGGGGCCATAATGAGTATCTGTAAATTGGATGATAAGAACTTCTTAAACCAGAGCAGCTGCCAAAGGCATCTTAACATGGAGCTTCTGCCATAACGAGAGACAGCTTGGCAGGTGAGGATCTGCAGCCAAGTAGCTGACTCCAGGCTGGTGGTTTCCCACCTGGGTGCTCAGATCAGTGCTCCTTAGGCCCTGCAGCTTTTAGATGCCTCCCTGCTGAGTGGAGCAGCCAGGAGTGGGGAAGGTTTGTGAACGTGAGTAGTCAGGAGGAATAAGCTGTTGTGCGTTGCACATCTTAAATGCGTGTATTGTTTTTTAGAGGGCTCAGGCAGGATGGGAGAGGTTTGTCGCTGGCATATACACATGTGTTTCCAGCCAGACACTGAGCATTAGCAGTGCAGAGAAAAATATGTGCTTGGGCTTGCAGTGGGGAACAACAACAAAAGTATCCTTTCTGTTTCTTTCAGCTGGAAAGGGATGCCAGGAGCTGTTGTTTTAGAGAATAAGAAATCTGGATTTATAAGCATGTGTGTGAGAGACACCTTGGAATGTGTATCAAGAAAATCTACATAGAGAAAATGCACAGCGGAGAAAGCAGGTCTTACTGCTGACTGTCACTGTTCAGGGAAAACAAGCATGTTGTGGAAATCTCTTTCTGTGTTCCTTGAAAAAGAAAAAAGAAGCGACAGCAAAGAACATCTGTTTGTGTATAAATAGATCCAATTCTTCAGATTTCGTTGTGCCCGTTACAGCATGAGCCAGCTTTTCTGGAGTGCCAGAAGAGAAGGAACGTCTCCAGAAAATGTTGAGGTTACAACACCCAGGTAAAACCTGCCTGTGCTGCCTCTACAAAGATGCAGTCAACTTAGTCTTGCAGCCAGCAAAGGCACTGGTGAACTTGACATGGTTGCCAGAGTTCTCTCACTTCTTTTTATATGATTTGCCAAATCCTTAGCTGGCTGGAGGGTGACTGTTAAGACAGGCAGCAGGACTGAAAGTTGAGCAGTGGTATGTTGAAAAGTTCTTCTGGAGCGGGGGATAATTAATGTGATTTTTGTTTTGCAGTGACCGCCCTTAGATGCCATAAAATGCTGGCTTGAGCTGGAAGGAAGGGCACCTCCGAAAGGATGCTACTGTCCCATAGGAGTGGGCTGAAATAGTGTCCAGTGAGCCCTGAGCACAAAGCTGATGGGTTTGGTTTTGTTGTTTATTAAAGACAGGCCTTTGTACAGCAGTAATGGAAAATCCTATTTCTGTACCAATAAAAACTTTGCTCCTGTGGTTGTTGTTGGCAAACTTAGTCACTTTGGTGTTTATGGAAAAGTATTTACTGGGAAGGACTGCATGGTTAGCAAGCCTCATCTGCTTTCATTTTGCTTTGATGGTACACGTGTTGCTGTGGGACCTTCTGTTTCATCCCTGTACCCCGTCCACAGTCCGCCCTTCCAGGCTGGTATCCCTCTGCTGCAGCGTGGACAGCCAGTGCCCCTGCTGTTTGCTGTGGCAAGGTGGAGCATTGCCTGGGTCTGGCCTGGGGGGCCTCGGCTTTGGGGGGGTTCCTGCTTTGCCACACAGGATGCTGAAACAACGCAGTGTGTGTTTTGTAGCAGTCAGGCTAGACCTAGTTGGCGTGTGGGGTATCAGCCAGCTGACAAGAACAATAATAAGGAACTTGAGTGCTGCGGAAGGATTAAAAGAAGCTTCTCTAATAAATGCAATTACACAAATGTGCTTGAGCCATGTGTCCTATTTAATTCCTGCCCAAGAAAAGAGGCATTCCTCAGGGCATTGCTTTTGTCTGAGTGAAAGAGATACCCAAGTGCCTCAGGCATCCTCTGAATCCAGAGTGGCTCTTCTGTGCACTGGGTGGCAACTAGTATTGGGCTTCGGATTCCTGTGAAGAGCAGTTATTCCTCCAGGACTGAGTCATTTTTCTTGCCAGGCAGTGGCTTCATAGCTGGCAGAGCCCTTGCTGCCATCCAGACCTCACAGGCAGCTTTCGTTGCTGGATGTGGCTCCCTGCCTGCGTGCCCCATGGCGTTGTGTTTGCCCACAGAGCTGCCTCGTTCATGCAACTGGGGATCTTCTAGTGGGCCTTTGCCGCTTCTGGAGAGTACCTTGGTACTAAGAGGGGCACCAGGCTGAGCACCGTGATCTGCTGGACTGGTTTTCTTGTCAGGGTGGTTTTAAATCATGCCTTTAATGCATTTTGTTGTCTCCTGCTGGTCAGTGAATTTCCTGTCTCTGCCTTTCATGTGAACAGGACTCACGTTGGAGAGAACATTTTACAGGCTGTTACAGAGCTTCGTGGCATTACACCAGGCAGCACCCAAGAAATACTCGCTGGAGCTAATGGGCTGGTAGCCCAGCTCTGGGAATTAGGACTGTTAGCTGGAAACATGCAGCAGCCTTCCCGGTGCGGTGGGGGCAGGAGGCAGCTGATGAATGCAGATGTGCGTGGATGTAAGAAAAGGGGTCCAGGCCCATCCGCAGGCTTGCTGTTTCTCGGGCACGGCTTTGACTTTGCTTCTCCGTGAGGCAGCGGTTGGGCAGGCTTAGGGCTGCATCCCTAGGGCTGGACTGATGGAAGTGGACAACCTGGGAAGGGCAGGGACCACCCCCCCAGAATGCCTTATGTGATGTGGGGAGAGCACGTTTGTGCTGCCCCAGGGTTGGGTTGCTCTTAACTAAATAGATGGCCAGCGTTAGTGGGCCAAGGAGGTAAAACCTTGAATGTTTCTCTTTTCTCTCAAAACTCCATCTCCCCACGTTTGAGGGTATTTAATCTGAAATCATCACTTATCTGTAGAAGCTGAGGTTTTAAGAAAACCGTTAAATATTCCGAGGTTCCTGGTAAGGTGCAAGGTAAAGGATTAAATGGTCCAGAAAAGCTGCTCTTTGACTTTCCCAGCTCCTTGCCCCACAGTGCAGGCATTCCCTGAGGTATCTCATAAGGTAACTTGTGTGCAGAGAGCAACTGTGTTCTTGCTCATAAGCACCAAATGTTTAATTCAGTGTGTGCTTGTCAGAGTACATTAAAAATGCAGGTAGCACTTGCTGTGTGTGAGCCAGCTCTTGTGAGGCCCTGTCGCAGGGTGATGTTACAGACTTGACACAGGCGGAGTCTGCTGGCTCTTGGAAGTGCCCCGGCTACCTGGAGTGCCGGGCCAGGCCAGCGTTGCCCTGTCTCTTCAGAACACTGCCTTTTCGTGGTGATGATGCCTGAAGATCCCAAGGAAACGTGGGGCAGAGCAGATGTGCCATGACTGGTGATTATCTGGTGTGGTTTTGCTGCTATGTGGTTCTCTGTCGTCCATGTTCCTCTCTATCTGGTTGTATCTCATCCTATGTTTAGATCCAGTCCTGAAGATTTCCCTGGTGCCAGTGGGAATATGAAGCCTTGCAGATACCTCAGCAAGGTTAAGGTCTTTTGTAAAATGGCTAGAGTAGAGGTTGTATTTGTGTGCACAGCACCGTGCACAAATAGGTCCCGATCTCGTGGTTTGGTTCAGCATCCGTCTGTGCAGTCTTCCTGCGGGGAATTCATGTGTCGTCAGGTGCAACAGGAAGCCTCTTTGAGCAGCTTGTTTTTGGAAAAGAGATTCAAATCAATATTTGGTAGCAACGCTGCATTAGGTAAGGTTGAGGCAGTAGTGTGAAATCTGTAAATGGAACTGGAAGGGTGAGAATAGACATTGCTGGGATACGGGGGAGAAAACAGCGTTACTCTTGAAAAGTGCATTTGGCTGGTACAGCACTGGAAGTGCTGGCGGTATCAGGTGGAGTTCCCAGTGGGCTGCCAGTACGCCTGGTCAAAAGGGCAGGCATTAGAACTGGAGGCAGCTGCTCCCTTCCCATCTGCAGGACAAGACCTCTGTTCACCAGTGCTCAGCTCCTCCTGACATTGCGCTTTGTGCTCTCTCCATCTCAAAGGCTGTAACGATGCGCGTTTCTCAGGCCCTGGCTAACAGTTGCTATAACTACCATTAATGCTGTCGTTGAGGGCAGGTCCTGCTTTAGCCTTATGTCTGTCGACCAGCCAGCTGAATTTTGTTTTCTTGCCTTTCAGTCCTTTCAAGGAAGCCAAGGACGAGCGTACCTCTTCAATTCAGTGTGAGTAGAACTTCGTACATGTCACCTCTGCATCTCTGAGGATAGAATTAAGAAAACCCTCATGAAGAAGAAAACAAAAGGATAATCTTCCTTTAGAAAACCTCTGCCTCAGACTTCGGAGCTTGCTGAAAATGGTTGGAGAAAGAGGCAGGAAATAGCACTGATTTGTGTTTGATTTTACGTTGACATTTCAGATAAGAAGCTAGGAAAAGGTGATTTTTTTCACCATCAGATTGAGAAATAAAAGCTAACAAATGAGTCATGCTCTTCCCAGAGGATGTGGTTGGACTAAGGAGTCAAAGTAGAGAGTAAATAATATCTATATGCAACTTACTTTTTAGAGCTAGCATAAAAATTGAGTATAATTTTCCCAATAACTGAAAATAGTTTTGGTGAGATCACTGCTGGGACATCTTTCAGAAGAACTGCGGATTTCAGTTACATTTTTCAATTTTCCATTTGGGAAAGTGAAAGTACCATTTTCTCAATTTGAAAATGAAAATCTTTCTCAAATGGATAATTAGTGCCATTTACTAGAAGGTTCTTAATCTTCTGTTTAAAGCTTTATAGACTTTTTAGTTGAATAACAATTCTGTTTTACCTTTTCATTCTGTTCTGGAACTGCAAGCGATCTCTGTTTCGGGCGCAGCTGTGGTGCTCAGTATCCTGAACCCCCTGCTTATGTTTTCAAATACTGCAATAAAATTGCTGTCGGCTTCATTGTAGCATGTTGCTGTGGAAAGACACACTGACAGGGAGCATCTCTCCTTTTTCCCCAGAGTTAATGTGGGTTGTGGCCCTGCAGAGGAGCGGGTGTTATTAACAGGATTACATGCGGTTGCAGATATTTACTGTGAAAACTGCAAAACCACACTGGGTTGGAAATACGTGAGTATCAGTATCATTTGTTTTTCCTGTGGATGTCTTTGCTCCAGCCCTTTCTGAAGGGGTGTGTATGGTAACAGGCTCTCGCAGAAGGACCATTAACTTGGGAACCAGAAATGCAGACTCTGGTCTGTAGCCACATCTTTTTTTCCTTCCTGCCTTTCCGTTTTCCCTCTTGTCTTGTGGTTGTTGCATCCATTCAGAGCGGAAGCTCTTTGTGGCTAATGTATTTTTTTACGAAGAATACACACTGTGGGCCTGGTTTTGGTGGGTGTCCCTGAGTGATACTTAACATAAATGAGGATAACTTCAGTCACTCTTTGTGGTTCGTGTTGTCTTTTTTCCCAGACAGTATCAGAATAATAGGATGGTCCATATATTGTTAATCCTGTGTCCTTCCCACTGGAAATGCTATTGAACATGAGTTTATCTGTTTGCTGTCTCTTGCTCTTCATAAATTCAATTACCTTCAAATAAAGGCTTATGCTACTTCCTAATTTCGGCTTCAGGAGGCACACAGCGTACTTGTTTGTCAAAACGTTTTGACCAGTGTCTAAACAAAACATACATTGTTTTTGTGGCCTCTGGACAGAAATATTCTTTAATAGATCAGTTGAAAAGCTATAAAAAGTAAAGCATCGAAAACTGATGCGGTAGGAACCCATGCAGAAACACAGCATGGACCTCACAAATGGAGAAGTACACTGAGTACATAAATTGAGTTTATTGTAAAACAAAATACAAAATGTCGTAAACATAGCAGGAAGCCCAAGCCTCTCATGCAATAGAATCAACATTCTTTCATATGCGTTACATGGATACAAATGGCACACCTGAGCAGAGCCGAGCCACTTTTGAGGATGCAGCCTCAGGAAGGGGAGTCCCTCCAGGGCAGGGGTCCTGTAGATTTCATTACTGCTCTGGTTCCGCAGTGCTGAAGCACTGTGTGTTTCTGTAGCTGCCAGCTACGCATCTGTGTAGGGTGGGTCCTTCTCATCCCTCGGTGCCCATTCCCTCCATGTCCAGGCAAAGTTTATCATAATCTGTCTCATTCCCGATGGCAGTGAGTTTACAGCATCAGAGGGCCTCTGTGTTCTTAACAAACATTAATACATTCTCAGACCACCCTAAAGAGAAGTAGGTTTTATCACCTGAAGAGTAGTTCAAGGAACAGTTGCTGTTGGCCTACAGAAAACTGCAGGTTTACGTGGTACCAATTACTCCTTTTTTCCAGACTTTAAAGATGGCTGGAAGCAGGGTTTAAGATTCTTCCAACCTGCTTTTCTGAAAGCCAGCAGGAGGACCTGTTTGACTGTTCATGCTGCAGACAAGGCTAAGACTTGCACTGGCATTCCCCGATCCGGTCTGTAACTGTGACTTTACCTTCAGATATCATCTTGATCTCATTCTTTCTCCTTTTCTTTAGGAACACGCTTTTGAAAGCAGCCAGAAGTATAAAGAAGGCAAATACATCATTGAACTAGCTCACATGATCAAGGATAATGGCTGGGATTGAACGGAAAAAGCCCAGCCCTACCAGCGTGTAAGAGAATGCCATCCAACCGAACATTATATCCAAGAGTGAGAGAGTGACTGAACGCTTGGTTCCATGCATTTAGAGGCTCTGCAATTCGGGAGCATCTTCACACCCTTCTCCATCTTTATTGGTGACTGGCCTCTAAATTTCTGTCTCTCTGTCTCTTTGCTTTGTATCTGTTTGTGAGTTGACCCTGGCTGCTTCTCTCTCTGTTCTGGCATTGGCTAAGAGAATGCACCGAATGCCCGACAGCCATTCCATGTTGACGAATGTTTAAGTACAAACTGAAGTTGGCTCTGTGGTGGCATTTTATCAGAAGGTCTTGGTGCAGGCGGAGGACACGAGTTTTGGGCAGGAGAAGGTGATAGGGAGTGGGGAGTGGGCCCAGAGGGAAGTGATCAGAAGTTGAAGCTGTACTTCTCCTTTAAGTCCTGGTTAACCAAGGCTTGAAACTATCTACTTGTCTAAATGGACAGAAAAATACCTCACGGCTGTGTTCTCTCCGAATCGTAAAACCGCTGCTCCATCGGTGGAGCTTCAGTCTAAGCCGGCTGAGCACAAGTCATAACCAGTTCCCCCCGCAAGCTAATCGCAAATCTGTGTTTTGTTTGCCATTTATGAGCTTGTTGTTGGAGGGGGGGACCTGAAGGCTGGAGAGATTCCTTGCCTCTCCTTTTTGTCACTGTTTCAGGGTAGGTGGGCCAAACATCCCAACAGAGCAAAGCTGTGGGGAGCATCCTCACAGCTGGAGAAACCAAATCCTGACTCTTGAGCCCTTCAGAGAGGAGGAGAAGAGCGCTTAAGGCACAATGGGGCTGGAGCTGCAGCTTAGAAGATGTGACAGGGGGGAAAAAAGGCGCGTGCTAGGCAAGAAAGAGGAAGTTACGTAGAGGAGGATGGAGACAAACTTGGTAATGCAGGGTACCTGTTGATTTTCCAGCCTCCACCGAGCGTCCCTGTGGGTCTTCTACCAGTCCTTCACAAGTGCGAGTAGGAAAATGCTGTTACAGAATCTTTTTTGTAAATCCCAGGCCCCGGCCATTGGCTCCGCTCTTGGAGCCTGGCAGAGAAATTATGTGAGAGTGGGGAGAGGAGGGAGCAGAGGAGCCTGGCGGTTGTAGCGGTGTTGCACAGGTGGATATTTCAAGCCATGAGGTATCCTCCCCAAAACCTGCCCCCCTGTTCCCACTCCCAGAAGCCTGATGCAGGCACAGGGGGAATGGGAAAGAAAAAAGAATTTAAACATCTTCCCCCTACTCCTGACATTGTTTATGCGTTGGAGTCTAAAGGGGAGGGGTAGATGTGGGCAGCATAACTGCAAGGGACAAGTTCTTCCCATTTTAATTTTTTCATTTTAATTAGTGTGGACCTTCCCGAGGTGGTTGATGGGGAAGGGGCATTGTGTGAGAGGGGAGCTGCATTAGACGTAAGTGATGATGTGAAGTTTGCTCTGCAACAGTCCAGCCAGTATCTGGTGCATAACTCAAGACTATTTAACTGAATTAGTTTTATCTCTCTGAGTGAATTTTCTTTTTGTTTGTGGAATTCTTTCAAGTAGGTTAATCCATTGGGGGAAATCTTTCTTAATCCAGAAGGAAAGAGTATTGCGTGGGGCTTTGTAACTCCTTATGAAACCGAAGCTTTGGAGCTGTAATCTGTTGTCACTTGCCCCCACCCCCAAGACACTCCCGGTTAGCCGTGGGGATCAGGCCGGAGTGCTGGTGGTGACCAGTCAGCTGTTAAATGAAGGGGATGTGAGCGGAGATGCTGTTTACTGGTCAGGGTGGACCTTACGTGTTGGGTCCTCATGCTGAAACCCAAACCTGCTGGCCCAGCTAAGCAAAGGCTGTTTTTTCTTTTGAACCACTAATCTTTACAGCCTTGGAGAGAGAAGTGAGATGGAGCCTGGCCACTGCTCTTGCAGCGGATGGAGTTGGCTCGGGTTGTGGCTAGCCTGTTAGGAGGTGGCTTCTGCCTTCGCCCTTTCTGCCGTGGCTGTGTGACAGTTGCTTCGGCTTTTGTTTCCGATTGTCTCTGCTTCGATCTTCCACATTCCCTTCAGTGATAAAAATCTGAGTAGAAATCAAAACCTCTGCAGTAGCTGCTATCTTGTTGACTTTGGCACTGACCTGGTCCCATTTTCCTGTCCTTGGGTTGGTGATCCATGACAATTTATTGGGTTTGGGCTAGTGGGAAGTTATCTGCGTTGTTTGAAGGGCTCCTCAGTCTCCCTGGATATGCAGCCTTTAAAGCTGTCTGGTTGGAGCTGGGAGAAGTAAGGGATAACCCCAAATCGTTGATACGAGGTTGAGAAAAAAAGCACACAGGGGCTCATGGTTTTATGTTGGTGTTGAGAGTCATTGCCTATAAAGAAGCGACATAGAAGGTAGGCCTGTCTAGAGGACCTCTCTGAGAAATAGGAACAGTTACTACAGAGAGCTACCAGATGTAGATGTTTTTATCTGTGTATCTGGGACAAGAGTGGATGATAATCCATCAGACCGGGCTGTTTTTAACTCTTCACAAGGGTTACGCTTTTAATGGCAACCAGTCTAAGCTTGAACAGGGCAAGATCTTAATCTGGTTTTAATTGGTTTTGTCCCATCAGCATCCGCAGATTCACACTTGCTGAGAATCTGGCCTCAGGCCCTGACAGGAAAAAAATACGTGTGCCTGTGAACGTCCCCAGCACCCAGAGAATTATCTGTAGAGTGACTTCAATATGCTGTGCAGGGAGATAAGGAAAGACGGGCCTGTGAGGCTCACTGGCATTTGTTCTCTGCTGTGTGTCCATGAAATATGAAGTACCTCTTAGTCTGCTGCTAACTCGTCTGTGACTTGCTGTGTTAGAGACACAGCGGTACTGGGAGCTGGTGACCGGACAGGATGCTCAGATCTGTGCGCTGGTGGCTACCGCAGTCAGCGCAGGCTGATCTGAGGACTCGCAGAGTGAGCTGTGCAGAGCACAACCAAAGACCCTTGCTGTCCGCATCCCTCTGGTCGCGTGAGCTGTCGCCGGTTCGTTAGCGACCGGCTGAGCGAGGTGGGGCCGGTGTTTCCGAGCTGGAGATGTGGCCCGTGGAAACGGCCTCCTTGGGCAGGCAGTGCCTGAACACGGAGCGTCGAGCACCCGCGGTGCTGCTTTCTGTGGGTGACATCCTCGAGGAAACACGAACAGCAGCGAGTTTTGCGCTTTGTTTATGTGGCAGCCTCGCCTTTGGAAAGCTGCGTGTACCCTGGAGTTTACGTCACCCCCGTCTACCCCAAAGCTCAGACTTGAGTCAAGTTTTAAATTGTTTTGCTCTGGTGGATTATCTGGTGTGAAATCCTGATCCCTGTAATAAATATTCAGATGATAATATATACAAAGCAGAAAAAAAAAAATTATCTTGTGAAATATACTTTTGTAAATAATATTTAATTTTTTTAAAAAAATAATATATTTGGTGCTGTTTTCTCAGAGCCCCTCCCTGAGAGCACTTTTTTTGTTGTTTATAAATGATACTGTTTCCTTCTGTATTTGTTGGAAAATATGTTTAAAGGGAAACAAAAATCATAATATACGTTGTCCTCTTAGGTCGATCCGTTTTTCCTCTGGACGTGGCAGGCGAGGGAGTCACTCCTGCTCCCACCCCCCGAACCAGGCGGCGGCGGTGGCCGGGTTACGGGCAGCACGTGCTGGGGAGTGGGACAGGAGGCAGCTCCCGGCGCTCTGGAGGGCTCCGGATCTGGGGGTAC